AGCAGTGATGACAGGCTGTTCATCCATAGGAGGTGAGAGTCCGTCCTCCGGTCCCCATTGGCTGAGTACTATGGGGTTAATAGTTTTCCTCATCTGTCGCCTGGGTCTGTTGTCTGCTATTGGTTATTGAAAACAATGGGCCAAGGCCTTTTCTAGTTGCCTCCACCGCCCTTTGTCTAGGTGAATCTTCCTTAAATGTGCTGCTGGTCATGGACAGTTCTCTGTTCTTACACCCTCCCTGCCTCTCCGTATTCTGTTTGCCCCGGGAAAGTTCAGCAACCGATTCCATTAAAAGTTGACTTTGTGGCCGAAACCGGTTTGGCTCAGTGGATAGAGTGTCGGCCTGCAGACTGAAGGGTCCCCAGTTCGATTCCAGTCAGGGGCATGTGCCTTGGTTGCAGGCACATCCCCAGTGGGGGGTGTGCAGGAGGTGGCTGATTGATGTTTTTCTCTTGTTGATGTTTCTAGCTCTCTATCCCCCTCCCTTCCTCTTCGAAAGAAACCAATAAAGTATATTTTAAAACAAATATAAAAATAATAATAAAAGTAGACTTTGCTGAGGATGGATTGCAGAGGCCTATTTCCTACATACACATCAGCTAAGGGGTATTTTGTGTTCAGGGGGTTAAGCCTCCAATGTCTGGGCTGATAGTGAGCCATCATATAGGCTAGGGTCTAAGTGTTGCTGGAAAGGGACAGGGCCAGAGCACCTGCCTCATGCCAGCCTGTTGCGTGTGTGCTGTTGATTTTTTGCAGGAAAGAGTCACGTTTATTAAAGCTGGGACATGAGACAGGAAGGGCCTGGTTTAAAAGGAGCAGCAGGAGCGCTGAGGCGAGGGGGGCTGCAGGGCTGCAGAGACATTATGGGGAAGAAGTGAGCCAGGAGGAGCTGCTGTGCGCTCACTGGAGAGTCAGAGGAAAGGGGCCTTGGGACCAGCTACTGCTGCCTGTTGTTTCCCTGGTTGCAAGTCTCCCTTAGAGTGTAGCGGGAGGGGAGGGGAAAGGAGGGAGAGGGCGGGATGCCCCTTTGGGTCTTTGTCCGGAGGGTGTTAAAGGCTGTGGGTCTAGGGGAGGATCTCAATTCCAGGTGTGTCTTTGCAGGGCCGGGGTCTCCCCTGATTGGACAGCTCCAGGGCAGGGGGTCGTTAGTCTCCCAGCTGGTCCTGGCATTACCCTCCTGGGTTTGCTGCTTTCCTGGGCCTGGAGCTGAAACACCACCGAGGCCTCCATGTTGTCTCTGGGGAGGACAGGTCAGGGGTCCAGCCCACGTGATCAGCTGTGCTGGGGAGGAGGCCCCGGGGCAAGGTCCACACCAGCTTTGCCCCCCCCATCCCCCGGGGCACTGAGCTTCCTGCCCGGTGACCTGCTGTGTCTGCTGTGGATCGCTGGCCAGTTTGTTCAGCTCTGTCTCAGCCCCCCAGACCACTTGCCAGGGACTTGCCTAGCTTCCTACTGTCCTGCCTCCTCAGGACAGAGCCGGTCTGGGCAGCTGGTTCTGCTGTGCCCAGCGCTGGCTCTCGTGTGGCAGCTCTGGCAGGTCTCCCCGGGATCCCAGCTGCAGCTCCACGCTGAGGCTTGATATGCTCCCAGCTGCCAGCCCTGGTGCCCCCTCATCCTAGGCACCAGCATCCACCCTCAAGGGTCCTCACAGTCAAGTCCTGTTCGCAGGCTCCTGCTCTCTCTCAGAATCAGGCTGATTGCCCCCTAACAAAGGTTTGCTGCTCACACCCCCTCCCCCCATATTTTTTATTATTATTTTATTTTTATTATTTTTATTTTTTTTAAAATATATTTTATTGATTTTGTACAGAGAGGAAGGGAGAGAGATAGAGAGTTAGAAACATCGATGAGAGAGAGTCATAGATCAGCTGCCTCTTGCACACCCCCTACTGGGGATGTGCCCGCAACCAAGGTACATGCCCTTGACCGGAATCGAACCCGGGTCCCTTCAGTCCCCAAGCCGATGCTCTATCCATTGAGCCAAACCGGTCTCGGCTATTATTTTATTTTTAAAAATATATTTTTATTGATTTCAGAGAGGAAGGGAGAGGGAGAGAGAAATAGCAACATCAACGATGAGAGAGAATCATTGACCAGCTGCCTCCTGCACACCCCACACCGGGGATCGAGTCCACATCCAGGCCAAGGGCCCTGCCTGGGAATCAAACTGTGACCTCCTGGTTCATAGGTTGACTCTCTACCACTGAGCCACACCAGCTGGGCTCCATTGATTTTTAGAGAGATTGTAAGGGAGAGAGGGAGGGGAAGGAGAGAGAGAAACATCAATTGATTGCCTCCCACATGGGGTTGGGGATCAAACATGCAACCGAGGTATGTGCCCTGGACTGGGATTTGAACCCAAGGCCCTTCGGTGAGGCCAATGGTCTAACCACTGACCCTCATGGGCCAGGGGCCCCACACAGCTCTCCTGACTCTCTTGGCAAAAAGCAGCCCAGGCAGAGGCCATGTGGCACAGGGACTGTGGCAGAGGCCTGGGCTCAGATGGATGTGGATTTGAATTCCAGTCCTGTCACCTACCAGTCGCAGGCCCTTGGGAGAGCTACTCACCGGTTCGCGCGCGGCTCGGCCCAGAATAAGCGCTTTGACAAGCAGAGCAAACCGGCCGCCTGGCCCACAAGCCCGAGGACAGGTGCTCACCCTCAGAAAGCGAGCCTGCCCCACTCGGCCTCCAGACACCTCAGATTTGGAGTGGAGTGATCCCAACCCCTCCCCCAGCTGTACCATTCTGAGGCTGAAACCTCAGCCGACACCCAGCCGGAAAGAGCCCCGTTATCACATCCTGTCACTCTGGGTCTGGGGCCAGCGGAAGACAGGGAGGGGCTGGGAGGAGGGGTGCAGTGGCTCCAGGCCGGGCCGGGCCGGGCCTGGGCAGCTCCCCGATGCCATCCCAAGTGTTCCATGGGGCCACGGAACTCCCTCCAGCTGCCTCCTGGTCATGTGACAAGTTCCCGTTGTCCCCGGAGCACTTCCTCACTTCCAGCCTCATCCAGGGCTCCCTGCCCGCCCTGGAGCCAGACAGCTCTCCACAGAGACTGAGGATGGTCTTTCTGGAGGAGGGAGCGGGCCTGGGGTGCTTCTTGCTGTGCTTCTTACTGGAGGTGTCATTGCTTCTAGACGCTCTCTGCAGACCCAGCCAGAAGGGGGAAAATGTATATATATATGTGAGTGTGTATGGGACACTCACATATATACATGTGTCCACTCAACACACACATTATATATACAGGTATCCACTCAGTTAATATAAACATACTCATTTTATATATAAACTCATTCTGAATATTATACAGGGCATCCTCCAAAAATGTATACGCACGTTAGCAGCTGGTAGCTCAATAAACTCTGCCTTTATAATTATTCTAAGTGCCTGGTTGGTGTGCTCAGTGCAGGTCACAGTTCAATTCCGGGGCAGGGCAGGACATGTGCCTGGAGTGGCTGGTTTGACCCATCATTGATGTTTCTGTCTTTCCCTCTCCCTTCCTCTCTTTGAAATCGATTAAAAATATATATTTTAAAATAGAGGGAAGGTGAGTAACAAAGTCTGGAGAGGTGTGAAGTGGTCCCGGGGATGTGAGGTGTCTGGGGGTGTGAGGTGTGGGGGGTGTGAGGTGTGGGGGGTGTCAGGTGTGGGGTGTGTGAGGTGTGGGGGGGTGAGGTGTCCGGGGGTGTGGGGTGTCCGGGGGTGTGAGGTGTCGGGGTGTGAGGGGGTGTGAGGTGTCGGGGTGTGAGGGGGTGTGAGGTGTCAGGGTGTGAGGTGTCAGGGTGTGAGGTGTCCGGAGGTGTGGGGTGTCCGAGGGTGTGAGGTGTGGGGGTGTGAGGTGTCCGGGGGTGTGAGGTGTCGGGTGTGGGGTGTCCGGGGGTGTGAGGTGTCGGGGTGTGAGGGGTGTGAGGTCCCGGGGGTGTGGGGTGTCCGGGGGTGTGAGGGGGTTTGAGGTCCCGGGGGTGTGGGGGTGTGAGGTGTCGGGGTGTGAGGGGGTGTGAGGTGTCCGGGGGTGTGGGGTGTCCAGGGGTGTGAGGTGTCCGGGTGTGAGAGGGTGTGAGGTGTCGGGGTGTGAGGGGGTGTGAGGTGTCGGGGTGTGAGGGGGTGTGAGGTCCCGGGGGTGTGGGGTGTCCGGGGGTGTGAGGTGTCGGGGTGTGAGGGGGTGTGAGGTCCCGGGGGTGTGGGGTGTCCGGGGGTGTGAGGTGTCCGGGTGTGAGAGGGTGTGAGGTGTCGGGGTGTGAGGGGGTGTGAGGTGTCGGGGGGGTGTGGGGTGTCCGGGGGGGTGAGGTGTCGGGGTGTCCGGGGGTGTGGGGTGTCCGGGGGTGTGGGGTGTCCGGGAGTGTGGGGTGTGGGGTGTGGGGTGTGGGGTGCGGGGTGTGGGGTGTCCGGGGGTGTGGGGTGTCGGGGGGTGTGAGGTGTCGGGGGTATGGGGTGTCCGGGAGTGTGGGGTGCGGGGTGTGGGGTGCGGGGTGTGGGGTGTGGGGTGCGGGGTGCGGGGTGCGGGGTGCGGGGTGCGGGGTGCGGGGTGTGGGGTGTGGGGTGTGGGGTGCGGGGTCGGAGGGGGTGCGGTGGTGTGTGGAAGGGCCTGGACAGCCAGGAGAACAGCTTGGAGCGGATGGATCCAGCCCCTCCCCCTGGACCTTCCTGAGGCTGTGAAACCTCAGCGGACACTGACCGGACAGAGCCCCTTATCACACGGGCACTGGGAACCACGCAGGCGTGGCGCTCAGGAGACGTGGCAGGCGGATGGCAGAGCGGTGGGTGGGTGGGGCCTGATCGGGCAGGACGGCCGCGCAGCATCCTCCGCCGGGGACCTCAGTGTTGTCCTCCGTAAACGGGTGCAGGAGAGGGACCGTCCCCCGGGGCTGCCCAGAGACTCCCCCAGGTGGCTGAGGCTGTGCCTGTGCCGGGCCCCGCCTCCGGTGACATCCTCTGCTTCCTGTTTCTCCCTGTCGGGGGAGTTTCAGTCTCAGCTTCAAACGCACAAACCGGCCCTCACAGCAGAGGAAGACGGGCCTGCCTGCGAGGAAGCAGGAAGCCGCGGGAGCCGCAGCCGGGCCGGCTCAGGATGGAGTCCGTGGCCCTGTACAGCTTCCAGGCCACCGAGAGCGACGAGCTGGCCTTCAGCAAGGGCGACACGCTCAAGGTAGGGGGTCAGAGTGGCCGCGTGCCCACGTGGGGCGGGAGGCTGAGAACCGGGGTCCCAGGACAGTCCCCCCTTTGGGGGCCGGCCCAGCTTCTCCAGTCTCCGGAGCCATCTGGGGAGTGGGTGGTGGCTGTGACCTCCTGTGGGGCCTGGGGAGGTGTCTGAGGGGTTCCCAGGGAGGAGTTTGAGAAGCCGTTGGAGAGGTGGTGGTGGAGGGCGGGGAGGAGCAGGGGGAGAGGAGGAAGTCCTGGGAGAGGATGGTGCCGCGGACCTGTGGGTGAGGAGCTGTGATTTCGGGGTTGAGAACCAGCTCCCAGCAGCCCGGAGAAAGGGGTAGGCCCCACCACTGCCACTGCGTCTCGTCTGGGCCTTTGTAAGGGACGCCTGCCTGCCAGGGCGGCCGGGCAGAGGGGTCTGTGGGCTCTCTCTGGCTCAGACTGCTCAGGCGCTGGGTTCAGGAGTGGCCGTGCCAGGAGGCAGGTGCCGAGCTGCCATGCCCCTCCGGTCTCGAGTCTCTTCCCCGGCCACCCACCGCCCCGCCCCGCAGCAGTGGGCGTTTGACGAGATGTCCCGCCCTGAGCCCGGGCCCACCTTGGCCCAGCGCTTCCAGCGCGCCCTGTGGCCACCCTGTGGCCGCCAGCCCAGCCCAGCAGCGGGCCCGTGTCCGGCTCCAGCTGCCCGAGCCGAGGCACAGGGTGCGACAGGACTTGTTAGAATGAGGTCCAGTTTGAAGGTGTGTCCTTGACTCTAGGAACCGTCTGTCCCTGAGGCTGAAGGACTGGGGAGGTTGATGCTCCACACAAGGAACCACGTCCCCTGTGCCAGGGTGCGGGCTCCCAGCACACCTGCTGGAGGCGTGCGGCCCGGTGGGGACGGAGGCGGGCCTGGCTTGCCAACCTAAACCTAGGTGTGAGGACGGAGGACGGGGCTCAGGGGAGTGGCCAGCGGTGGAGAGGGTGGGGCAGGGGTTCCCAAGGCCATTGTAAAGGCTGTAACACCCCCACGCCCTGTCACCCCGATTCCTGTGCCCACCTTTCCCACCGCAGCATTAGTCATTTCCCACCGACCTTTGCTAGAGCGTCAGCCGGTTCCTGTCTGCTTCCGTCAGGGGTGCTGGCTGCTGAGCTCACGCTGGAGCCGCAGGGCACAGAACTGCGTGGCACACACAGGCTGTCGCTAAACAAGGGATGTGTCGAAGGAAGGAAGGGAGGGAGGGAGGAAGGACAGGAGGGAGGGGGCAGGGAGGGAGTGGGGAGGAAGGACTAAGTGTTAGCGGACACTGGGGTGCCTCCAGTGGGACCCCCCTCCCCCGTGGCGGAGGCCAAGGAAGAGGCCTGAAGCTCATAAAACGGGTGAGGAGTGAGCAGGGCCACTTTCTCCTTCGCTCTGTGGAGCGACTCTGTCCGGCCTGCTGAGATGTAGCTGGCACATAGGACGGTGCTGGTGGAGCTGTGCAGTGGGACCCGGTACCCGTCTGTATGTGCCACGTCCCGCCGTGAGCCGGGCGGGCAGCTCACCGCCTCCCAGCCACACGCTGCCTCCTGAGGACTTTTAAGACCGACTCCCCTCACTGCTCTCAAACGTGCAGCAGAGTTACTAGCCGTGTCTCCATGCTGCATTCCACATCCCATCACTGATGTATCTTAACCGAGTGTGTGCCTTTGACCCCTTCTCACACACACACACACACGCACACACACGCACACACACGCACACACGCACACCCGCTGCCTCTGGCACCCAGCAGTGGCTCTCTCTGAGCCCCCGAGCACCTGCTCGCTCCGGGCCCTGTCCTGCATGCGGAGGGCACAGCAGAGCCCTGCCTCTCTGGGCCTGACAGTCCGGAGGCCGCTGACCCGAGGCCCAGGGGGCTGAGGAGTCCACATGGGAGGGGGAGCACAGCAATCACGGCCGGGAGCAGCGGTGCCTGTGTGAGACCTGGAGGAGGAGCAGGAAGCGGTGTGCAGGCCGGGCTCTGGCCGGGCAGACCTGGAGGCAGGCCGGGGCAGGACCTGCTCACACGGCGGGAGGACTGAAAGGCCGGCCTGCGGCTGAAGGCAGGGAGCGAGGAGGTCCATGAGGCAGCAGGCAGGGAGGCAGGGGGCAGTAGGCAGGGAGGCAGGAGGCAGGGGGCAGGGGGCAGGAGGCAGGGGGCAGGGGGCAGGAGGCAGGGGGCAGGAGGCAGGAGGCAGGGGGCAGGGGGCAGGGGGCAGGGAGGCAGGGAGGCAGGGGGCAGGGGGCAGGGGGCAGGGGCAGGGGGCAGGGGGCAGGGGGCAGGGAGGCAGGGGGCAGGGGGCAGGGGGCAGGGGCAGGGGGCAGGGGGCAGGAGGCAGGGGGCAGGGGCAGGGGGCAGGAGGCAGGAGGCAGGGGCAGGGGCAGGGGCAGGGGGCAGGAGGCAGGAGGCAGGGGCAGGGGGCAGGGGGCAGGGGGCAGGGGCAGGGGCAGGGGGCAGGGGGCAGGGGCAGGGGCAGGGGGCAGGGGGCAGGGGCAGGGCAGGGGGCAGGGGGCAGGGGGCAGGGGGCAGGGGCAGGGGGCAGGGGGCAGGGGGCAGGGGGCAGGAGGCAGGGGGCAGGAGTGGGGCTGGACTCCTGTGAAGTGAGCTATACTCAGAAAGGCTTCCTCAGCGATGCTTTAGAATAGGGGTGTCGAACTCAATCAGAGAAGGGGCCAAAATCTAAAATCCAGCCTAAATCGCGGGCCAAATGGTTTACTGAACAGTCATAAACTGTCATTGTGATGGAAACGCAGCGGAGTGCAGTGATGACAGCGCGGTGCGGGCCACATTGCAAGGCCTGGCGGGACCGATTTGGCCCGCGGGCCTTGTGTTTGACACATGTGCTTTAGAAGGTAACAAAACCCTGAAGGATCCCGGGTCCCGTCCAGGCAAGGGTAGGTGCGGGGCGCGTGCGGGAGGCACCTGATCGGTGATTCTCTCGCATCCACGCTTCTCTTACTCTGTCTCTGAAAATCCATATTGATGCATTATTATTAACTTAATACGTTATTATTAAGATCATATTCAGAGTCTGTGCATTCATCCTTCTTTTTTAACATGTTTTCTTCAATACTATTTATCTTGACTCCTGAGATGTCTGGAGCTCCACCTCGCACTCGGGGGGTGGCTTCCTGTGACTATAAACATGTGACTGTCCCGCTTCCTCTCCTGGTGGCCCTTTCTGAGCAGCAGCAGCATCTGGGCGGGTGCTGGCCCCAGGGCCTGGCCCTTTCAGCCATCCACCCGCTTTCCGAGCGCAGTGTGGACCAGGCCCTGCACAGCCATGCCCACCGTCCCGTTCCACCTCCTCTGCCCCACTGGCTGCTCCCTCTGTCCCACTAGCTGCTCTCTCTGCCCCACTGGCTACTCCCTCTGCTCTGCTGGCTGCTCCCTCTGTCCCATTGGCTGTTCCCTCTGTCCTGGCTGGCTGCTCCCTCTGCCCTGCACACTGTCACCCATATCTCCCCACTTCCGGTGCCTGTATTCAGGGTCTCGGGAGGTGTTTCTCGGCCACCCCATCTGACCCCTGTTGCAAACCTCCCTGCCCAGCCGGGCGTCTCAGCCGGAGTCTCAGCTATGATATCCTGTTGTTCCCAGGCCACCTACTGCTACATTCTTACCTCGGTGACTTGTTTCCTTCCTTTCTAAACACTTTCCCCCCTTTTTATTGACTTTATTGGGTGGAACTGTTGAACAATACCATGCAGGTCTCAGGTCACAGCTCCGCAGCACATCATCTGCACACTGTTCTGTGCTCACCAGCCCAAGGCAAGCCCTGTCCGCCACCCTTATAGGCCCTCCACCTCCTCCACGCCTTCCTTCCTTCCTTTCTCATTACCTTTACCGCCAGGAGGTGAGCTCCCTTCCCTGCTGTGTTACTGGAGCATCACTCAGTGATGCTCAGGAAACAGCAGGTGAGCAGACAGCAGACTTCCTGTCAGGAAGGGCGAGCAGGCGGGGGGTGCACTGGTGAGAACCAGCCCAGGCAGATGGCCAGTGCCCAGGCACAGGAGGCCCGTGGCGGGGGGAGCGCCCTGCAGGGGGAGGCTCAGGGGGGGGGGGGCCGTCGCAGAGAGGAATGCCATGTCTCTGAGGGTCTAGCAGGCGTCTTCAAACTACGGCCCGCGGGCCACATGCGGCCCGCAGAGGAGTCTGATCCGGCCCGCCAGGTTTTTTGGGCAGTGAGCGCAGCCGAGGTGTTACAGTAGGAATTAGTAGTTCATATAGTCCGGCCCTCCAGCTCTCTGAGGGACCGTGATCTGGCCCCCACTTTAAAAAGTTTGAGGACCCCTGGAGGGCTTCTGAACCACATTAACAGTAAGAACTCAGCTACTGTCCACAATGAGAACGCCTCTGGGTCCTCAGAATGAAGATAACAGAAGGTAGAACAAGATAGCAATTGGATTAAATATTTTACATTCACACGTCTGCGGGACTTGGAGTCCACAAGGCACGGCCACGCTCGGTGCAGGCGCGGCCGCACCCGCTCCCCGGTGACAAACGGGCGGCGTGGCGAGGCGGGCAGACCGTGGGCGAGAGCCCCAGGCTCCAGGCACCTTCCTGGAATCTGTGCTTGAATTTCCTAATAAATTGGAAGACTTGTTTTGTTTTGTTTTCAGCAAAAGTTTTCCTGAGTCAGCCACCTGCTTCCTCTGTCCCTGGGCTGCTGCCCTGCCCCGGCTGCGGGCAGGAAGGAAGGACTCGCAGCGCCCGGGGCAGACGAGGGTGCCAGCTGGCCTGGGTCAGGCTCAGGCTGGGTCCAGGGAGTCCCTCCAGCTCCTCCAGGAAGACCGCCTGTCCGGGCGCTGCTTCAGGCAGCCCGGCCAGGGCCCCTCGGGCCGTGCCCTCCGGGGGAGCTGCTCTCTGCCCCGTATTTCCACTCAGCAATGTCCCCCCGAGGACCCAGCCACGCGGGGCCTGCTGCAGGACTAGCAGGAGAGACGCCCTCCCAGGCTTGGGACCGAGACTAACTGGGAGGGAGAGGGAGAGTAACCTGGTGAGCAGGGTCTCCCTGAAACCAGCTGAGCTGGACCCCAGGCCCGGAGTCCTGCCACTGTGTGGCCCTGCCTGCCCCTCCCATCTCGCCCCTCCTGCCTCCCCCGCTGCAGCCTGGCTCACCCCCTCGGGGGCTGTTTCCCCCATCTGTGAAGTAGCCCTGGGCTCTGTGACCTCAGAGGGTTGTATGGAAATCAGGGCGATTGCCCAGAGAAGGGAGGGCTCTGGGGGCCTGGCCAGCGGGTCCCACAGCCGCTTGACTGCTCACCCGCAGCGACTCCCACCCGACTCGGCTGTTTCGGTTCCTCTGGGCCACCTGTGGGTGCCGGGCCTCGGGCTGTGAGCCAGGAGCCAGTGACCCGAGCCGGCCAGGCATCAGCCTCACCTAGCCCAGCACTCTGCTCTCCCCGCTCCCAGGGCCTGAATGCACCGCCTCCTGCTGAGTGGTCACCCCGAATCAGACTGTGAGGGCGGTGTGAGTGCAGGCAACCTGAGGGGCCCCCAGGCGGAGCCCGGGCAGGGGCACTGGCCTCCCGGGACGCTGGCCTGCCCCGGGCTTAGTGCTGGCGGGACCTGTGGGACCCCGCGCTCCAGGCCAGCCCAGGGCCCAGGCTGCGGGGTCTGGGTGCCTGAGCCCAGCTGCAGCCCCGTCGGGGACAGGGACGCGGTGCCCCTCCTGGGGACAGGCTGGCCTGGGTGGGGGCGCAGGACGGAGGAGCCAGGCCTGACCCCCGTCCCCTGCCTGTGGAGCCCCCCGTGGAATGCCCAGGACTAACGGGGACCCCGCAGGCGCTGAGCAGGGCTTCTCTCCAGTGGCTGATGTCTCTCCTCCTGCAGATCCTGAACATGGAGGACGACCAGAACTGGTACAAGGCTGAGCTCCGGGGCGCCGAGGGCTTCATTCCCAAGAACTACATCCGGGTCAAGCCCCACCCGTGAGTGGCCATTGCCCCAGCCCTGTAGCTTAAGGCACCCCACACCCTGCCCTGTGCAACCGAATGTCCCCACCCGCCCAGCCCTGCGAGGTGAGAGTGAGGGGGCAGGGGAGGGTGGCGGGTGTGCCGTTTGGGGCATAGGAGAGAGAGCAAGGCATTGGCCAAGCAGAACCTGGATCAGCCCAGGGAGGTCCTAGTCAGGCTCCCAGCATGCGCCCCGGCCCTGAGAATGGCGGGAGCAGGTCCCACCCAGAACAGGCCTCAGTGGCCAAGACTCTGGAAAGCCCAGCTGCTCACTCAGCCAGTCGCCAGGTCCTGGCCAACCTGGACCTGCTGAGCTGCTGGGGCGGCCTGCAGGGCCAGGACAGAAAGCACAGGGGGCGGAGGCAGCACTGAGCAGCCCCAGGAGGCATCTGGGGAGAAGTGCAGTGAGTGAGGCTGTGAGGGTGGAGTTAGCTCAGTGGAAAAAGAGAAGGCTGGTCAGGAGGAAGGTGCGAGATACTGAGGGAGAGCCCTGGGGGGGGGGGGGGGGTCTGAGCAGGCGAGGGACTCAGTCAGCCGTGGAGGCCAGGGGCACGGCCAGGCAGGCGGGTCGGAGGGGAGGGCTACAGGGCCGGGTGGGGCCAGAGAGTTCCCTCTTCCTCTGTCTCTGGGTTACTTCCAAAACCGCTACAGCCTCCACTTCATGCGCTGGACCAGGCCCTCCCAGGGCTGCAGCCCCCAGCGGACTCCAGGCCTGGGTCCGGGGCTGCCATCTTCCTGGCAGTAAAGGGAGAGCCTGAGGGAGAGATGGTAAGACCCCGCACAGGGCCAGCGGGTACAGGCAGGGTCCTGGCTGTGGGCTGGGGGGTCTCCAGGTGGCAGTGGGACCAGGCAGACCCGAGCCCGAGCCCGAGACCCATAGCTGCTGAGGAGTCCTGAGTGTGTGTGTGGGGGGGGGGGTTGACAAAGGTGTGGCCGGGGCCAGGCCTGTCGGGCAGGCTGGGGTTGAGGCAAGGATGCACCAGGCTGTGGGGGCGCGGAGTGTTCCAGTCCGCAGTGACCCTGGGCTCAGCTCCGGCTCTTGTCTGGACAGAGTAGGAAAGGGGTTCACCCCACAACCCAGCCAAGGCCATGCCCAATTTTGTCCGTGGCTAACCGCAGCCCTGGCCCCAAAGCGGTGGGGAAACTCCAGCTCTGGGCCTGGCCCAGCCCATCAGGCCTCAGGGTGAGTGGAGGGCGGTGCAGAGGCGGGCAGGTTCCCCTAAAGCCCTGTGCCTCCCCCAGGTCCACTTCCCCCTGAGCACCCAGCACCGCGCACACCTGCCCCGGGTCCCAAGGAGAACTCCCAGAGGAGGAGCATGCCCTGCGGGGCCTCGAAGTTAGAGCAGAAGTTTGCCAGGGAGGACAGCAGGCAGACCTACGCAAGAGATGCTCAGGGGGAGGAGGCGCGGGGTGGGGGGAGGCGCGGGGGGGGCGAGGAGGGAGGCGCGGGGGGGGGGGGAGGCGCGAGGGGGGGAGGCGCTGCGGGGCGGGGGGAGGCGCAGGGGGGGAGGCGCAGGGGGAGGAGGCACAGGGGGATGGCTGGAGCTGGCTCATGACAGCAGCAGCTGCAGGACGCCCGCGTGCACAGCAGCACAGACAGGTGGAGAGGGCCAGTGGCTTGCTCAGGTCACTTGGCTGGCAGGAGGCACAGTGATCTGCAGCAGGCTGTGGGCCTGGGCTGTGGGCCTGGGCTGTGCTCCCAGGAAGGGCGGGGGGAGGAGGAAGCCCTTATGAGTAAGTCTGAGGTCAGGGACTTGCTGACCTCAGGGAGAGTCTGAGGTCAGGGACTTGCTGACCTCAGGGAGAGTCTGAGGTCAGGGACTTGCTGTGATCTTCTCTGGCTGAGGTCAGGGACTTACTGTGATCTTCTCTGGCTGTTTCCATGCCGGTGAGCCTTCCATGCTAGGTGCCGGGTGGAGGAGCTGGCGGGGAGAGAACAGGCTCTGGGCAGTGAGGTGGGCTTGTTCAGCCGCCCCAGGGAGGGGCCTGGGACCAGCCGGCGGTGTGGTGGCCACACCCTTTGGGGGTGACAGCTGCCCACAGGCTGACACCTCCTGTGGGGTTTGTGGTTCTTTGAAGACACCAGGCCCTCAGGACATGCCCATGCAGAGCCCAGTGGGCCTGCACCTGTGTCCTGCTGGGCTTCCCCGGCGCCCTCCATGGCCAGCTCAGCCTCTGGCGGGGGCTGCGTCCAGGACCCCGACTCCAGGGACCCAGGCTGTGCTCCCCAGGAGTGGCCTGGCCATCCACATGCAGCGACCACTTCCCCGCTGCTGCTCCCGGGATGCCCGCTGTCTGGGGCAGCACTTGGTCGGCACCTCGCTTCTGAGGTGTGGGCTGTCGTGGGGGCAGGGCCTGAGACCCGGGGGCGGCCAGGGCGTGGCTGTGGAGTGGGAAGGGGCGGGCAGGAGCCGGCGGGTGCGTTAGTGGGACCAGGGCAGCTGGAGAGTCTCAGGCTTTCAGGCGGGCAGGGCTGGGGCTGGCTGTTTGTCCACCTGCGCCTGGTCACCTGCCATCGCTGAGTGTGCCAGGCTCAGCACCGGGCGGAGCGTGCCAGCCCCAGGGAAGTCCTGGGACAGAACCCCAGTGTTTGTTGCATCTGCCATCGACCTCGGTGGCCATGGTTCCACCAGGAGACTGGCTGCTCCGGCCACCATTCCCACCCCTCCCCAACAACGAGGGGCTGAGACCTGGACTCCGAGGGGGGGAGCCAGGCCGGCAGGGGATGGGGTGGGGACAGGAATGGCCTGGAGCCCTGCAGCAGATGGGCAGCCTGAAAGAGAAGCTGGGTCCCAGCCTTTCACTCCCAGACCCTGAGGGTGGTGGGGACCTTGCAAGATTCTAAGCATTAATCAGGCACCTCCTGTATACCCAGTTCTGTTTGGGTAGCAGGAAAAGGGACTTGTACCAGGGAGAAAAGCCCAGGTGGCCAGTCTGTGCATCTGTGAAATGGGTATAGGGTGAGATCCTTCCTCATCAGATCAGAGCTGCTGTTGTTTTTGTCATTGTTTTAATTTTATTTTTTTCACTTTTAAGAATCTGTTATTCAGCCCTAGCCAGCTTGGTTCAGTGGATAGAGCATTGGCCTGCGGACTGAAGGGTCCCAGGTTTGATTCCCGGTCAGGGCACATGCCCGGGTTTTGGGCTTAATCCCAGTGTGGGGCATGCAGGAGGCAGCCGATCAATGATTCTCTCTCATCACTGATGTTACTATCCATCCCTCTCCCTTCCTCTCTGAAATCAATAAAAAGATATATATATATATATATAAAAAAAAGAGTCTACCATCTAAAATGGAAAAGCTCAGCTGGGCTGGCTGGGTTTGATCTCACCGAGGTCTGATATTTCTGTTTCCCTGATGGGATGTGTCTTCCTGGTCTGGTGGGAAAAGATTGGCCCCGGAGCCAGAAGGCTGGGGTTGGTTCCCAGCTCCTCCTGCCACAGCACGTAACCTTGGGCTCGTTGCTTCATCTCTGTGCCTCAGGTTCCTCATCTTTAAAATGGGTGCAATGGGACCGTGTGCATTTCGGGACTGCTGTGAGGATGAGCGATGCTGAGCACTGGGCACAGAGAAGGCGGCCGCCCGCCCCCACTGCCTCACCTGTCCCCTCTCTGCAGGTGGTACTCGGGCCGGATTTCCCGGCAGCTGGCGGAGGAGATTCTGATGAAGCGGAACTACCTGGGAGCCTTCCTGATCCGGGAGAGCGAGAGCTCCCCAGGGGAGTTCTCCATCTCTGTGAAGTGAGTTGTGGCCTGCGGGAGCCAGGCGGGGGGCAGGGGGGCGGGGAGGCAGCCCTGAGCTGTGCCCAGGCGCTGGTCAGGCTCGCAGACGGAGGAGGCAGGCATGGCGCCCCGGAGAGGAGCAGCCAGCAGATGCTCGGCAGCTGGCCATCGGGGGTGAGGGGAGGACACCCCTCCAGGCGTGGCCGGGGCAGTGAGGATGGGCCTCCAGTGCCAGGCTGGGGGTCTGACATCATTCTACGACCAGGAAGGGCCGAAGATTGGTCCTCAGGGAGGAAGAAGGTGCTGGTGGCTCATGTGATGGGAGCGACTAGGACAGGAGACCCCGGGCAGCAGGGCAGGCCTTCAAAATGTGCTCGGACGGGGGGACCTGACCGGAGCAGGGCCGCTGGGGCGGCCGGCATGTGTGGTTGACGTGGTGCAGGGAAGAACTCACCCGTGAGTCCAGGTGACTTTGCGGGACACTGATTGAAGCTGGGCAGTGAGACAGGAAGGGCCGGGACAGAGGCAGCAGGAGAGCCAGAGGAAGGGGGAGGGGGCAGGGGAGTTCACTAAGGAGTCGGAGAAAAGGGGCCAGGGAGACAGATCACATCGGAGGGTGAGCCGGGACAAGCTGCCGCTGCCCATTGCTCCCTGGTTGCAAGTCTTGTGGGTCCCGTGGAGCGCAGGGGCGCCCACCCGAGGGGAGGGAAGGCGGGGGCGCTCCTGGGAGGGGGAGTGCCGGCTGGGTCCCTCCTGGAGGGTTTATCGCTGGGCATTTAGGGGAGGTCCCAGGGGAGGGTCTTAGCAGAATATTCACCAGCTTTCCAGGGCTGTCCCTTCAGGGTCGGGGTCTCCACGGACTGGTAGGCGCCAGGGCAGGGTCGTTGGTCACGGCCGCTGGTCCTGGTGCCGCCCCTGGATTCGCTGCTCTTCCAGGCCTGGAGCTGACATGCAGCTGAGGCCTCACTGTGATCTCCAGGGAGGCGGCTTCCGTGTCCTGTGACCTGCTGGCAGTGCGCTCAGCTCTGTCTCACTTTCCCCTGTTGGTTCACCAAGGAATTTTCCCAGCTCCTTACCGTCCTGCCTCTCATCTGTATGGGGACATGGCAGAGAGGACGGACTCTGGAACCCGGCTGCTGGGTTCAGATTCCGGCTCTGCACTTCCCGGCTGTGTGACCTTGGACAGGCCACTCACCCTCTCTGTGCTGGTTTCCTCCCACGTACAGTGAGTTATTGCAAGGATGAACTAAGTCGGTGTATCGGGAGCCATTAGAACAGGGCCTGGCATGGAGGCAGATGTCCGGCTCTGAGACCAGGCAGCTCCTAGGGCATGGGGTTAGCCAGGCCCAAGGCCACATGGGTGATGGGGGTCCAGGCTGGAAGGAGTGGGGTGGCGGGGTCAGGCCCTGGTGGTCTCTGTCCTCCCATCTCCAGTGTCTGTGAGAGAGGGAATTTCCCTCCCTCCCCCTCTCAGTGCTTCTGGCTGGTCAAACAGTTAAAATGCATGAGATGGACTAACTGCAGAGAAATGATCAGATTCGTTCACATGTGCACAGGTGGGGGCCCCATAAGGAGAGGCGCCTGGAGTCAGACGGGGTTCAGGCTGAAGAGAAAGGAGGGCAGTGGTTTGGGACCTCACGGGCAGGAGGCGCTCACGTGGAGGTGGAGCGCCAAACTTTGGGCGGGGAGGTACCGGCCGGGCCGTGGCTCCCAGCGGCCCCGGAGGCGGTGCAGGCCTCGCCGGTCCCTCTATCGTCACGCCGCCCGCCCCCCACTCCCTGACCAGTCCCCTGCGAGACGCCATGCCTGGCGCAGGCCTCTCGGTTCTTTAGGAAAAGGGAGCATCCACGGTTCCCCCGAGTCTTCTGTTTCTTAAAAATAACCAGTGGACGTCCCCCAGGGGCCCTCTGAGGGCAGCCTCGCCCTCCCCACCCCCCGGGCCAGAGGGTCTGGATGCAGAAACTCGGGGCTGGGCCCTGCACCCCCACTCACTGCGAAGAGGAGATGGCAGTGCCCATGTGGCCGCCCAGTGGCCTCTGGACACGGCGCCAGGCGGGCCTTTGCATGGCTCCTGGAATTAGCTCCAATCCAAGTCACCAGCAAAGCAGGGTCCAGGGAAGTCACCGGGCGGCTCCCGGAGCCTGGGCAGCAGGAGGTGGGGGCTCTCCCAACCCTCCCCCCTCCCCCTTCCCCCCCTTCCCCCCCACACTCCCTCCTCCCTGACTCACCAGTCAGGCGGCCTCCCCGCAGAGCCTCCCGCACTGCCTCTTACGTCGGTGCATGCCGCGGAGCGGGTGCTGTGGAGGCTCACACCCACCTCTCAGCTCCTGGTGTGCCAGGCATGGAGGCAGGCCAGGGAGGGGTCCAACCCGGGGTGGGGGGGAGGGTTGGCACGCCTGGCCAGGGTGCTCGTGATGAATGAACAGTGAACAGGGGGTGGGGGGAATTCAATGACAAGCACATTCCAGGTGCTTGAGGAGGAGAGCGTGTGCAAAGGCCTGAAGGTGGCCGGGAGGTGTGGGCCGGAGAGCAGGTTGGACCAGGAGACAAGGCAGGGCCTGGAGCCAGCACCGATGGCCGAGAAGGCCTGGGAGCCCCGGGAGAAGTCCTGGCCCCACGGTGAGAGCACAGGACTGCTGCCCTGCTGGCCGGTTTGCGCACCCACCACTCGTGGTGTCCTCCCCCTGGCTTCGTCGCTGGGTCAGGGCTCCGGGGCCTGCTCCCACTCCCGGCCCCTCGTCTCTTACGGAGCCTCTCGGTGGTCCTTGCGGGATCGGGCGGCGATCAGAGGAGGAAACAGACTCAGAGAGCCCGTGTGGCCAGGCCGTGGGCTTCGGGCAGGAACCTGCGGCTGCAGAACCTGGCCCTGTGAGCCTGTTTCCTCACCTAAACCCGAAAGTCTGCGTAGGGTGACGCCGAGCACAGAGTAAAGGTGCTTCATACCTGCCAGTGACAGCATCATCATCACACAGCCCTCCGAGGCCGCACGGGGCCCCGAGCCCTGCCCAGGCCCGGGGCGGCTGGAGAAGGTGGTGGGGAGGTGGGCGCCCCGTGCTCGCCTGGCTCTGCTCAGCCCTGCTGGCACCAGAGTCCCACTCTCCCCTGTGCTGCCCTCATCGCTAACGGAGAGTCAGCGACAAAGGCCTTCCTGAGGTGGCGGCTGCAGGCTCGGCCAGGGCATCCCCTCCCTCGCCGGGCGGCTCCCGGGCCTCTTGCCCCCTTGTGTGCTGCCTGCCGCTTGCTCCTGCGGAGCTGTAAGCTGTCAGAGTGTGTTATGGCCTCGGGAGCCTTTCCGAGTCTGCAGAGGGCTGTGCCCGCCCCTGCAGGAGTGTGCCCACTCTGTGGCTGGGCTGTGGCTGCGCACACTCACTCCGGCCGCCTGGGCTCCTCTCGTCAGTGAGAATCGGTTCCCCAGCGAGGGGTTTGCTTCCTCTTAGGTAGAGGTGCCCGGACTCGGTGCCCAGCCTGCCCGCCCCGGGTCCCTGAGCACCACGGCGCCGCCTGGCCCGGCCCCGGGTTCAGATACGAACAAATAGAGCGAAGCTCCCGTCCTTCGGGCTCTCGTTCCGCTGGGCTAAGGGACGGTAAATGAATGGCGAGTAAATCACAAACTCCCGGGAGGTGATAAAGACCTGGGAAAATGAAGCAGGAACGGTGTGTGTGTGTGTGTGTGTGTGTGTGTGTGTGTGGTTTTATACATGCAAAGACTGGGAGGAATTGACTCCAGAAACAGTTTACAGGTAAAACAAGCCACCAACAACCAAAAGAACCCCTGAAGCTCAGAGAGGAGCAGTGACTTGCCCAGATCACAGAGCAAGGGAAGCAGAGCGAGTGCCCATCGGCCCTGTGCCTGGCAGACTTATCTCCTCTGCCACCCCTTCCCCAGACAGGGCAGGGAAGGCAGCCCCTCCCAGGTCACAGAGGGAAACTGAGGCTGCCGAAGGCCAAGCCTAATGGAGACCACCGGAGGGCAGTCAGCACCCAGCACTCTGCCAGGCTGTGCTGTGAACGGCCCAGCCCGTCTCATCCTCTGGCCCGTCTCATCCCCACCGCCACCCTTGCCGCTGCCGCCGCCGCCACCCAGCCAGAAAAACCCGCCCGGCAGGACTGGCTGCTGCTCGCGTCAGGCCTGACCTGCTCCTTGCGCTTTCCCACCGGCCCAGGTGCCGGCCCAGGAGCCGGCCCAGCCCCTCAGCCCCCGGGGTCACACACGGAGACAAACGCAGCCAGAGCTGCTCAGGGAGGGATGCGCACACCCAGTCACACAGCGGAGACAGCCGCCTGGCACCCACGGCCAGGACACAGGCACGCACGGCCTAGGCACTGCCCGCCATCCTGGACCAGCTCCGCGCTGGGCTCGGAGCCCTCGGCTGCCCTTCCACTGCTGCTCGGACGGCTCGGACGGCAGGCCGCTGTGCTCAGCCCCTCAGCCAGGGCCTGCCTGCCCCCAGAGGCCGTCCTCTGCGTGCCCACCGCTCCCTGGGCGGGGAGAGGGCACCCGGGAATGGCTTCTCAGGCGCCTGGAAGGATGGCTAGGGCCAAGGCCAGGCAGAAAAGGAGGAAACGGGTTCCTGCCGAGAGACAGCGGCGAGGCCCGGACCCCGGGCCTGGGCGGGAGAGACCGCCTGGTGCGCAGTCCGGGGGTCAGCAGAGGGGGGCACGGGCCGAGCCTCAGGGAGGTGTGTCACCGGTCAGGCTGGGCTGGCCCAGCAGCCCCCTGGCTGCAGGCAGGCCCCCTCTGGCCTGCTGTCCTCACAGGGACAGGCTCTGGGAGGGATGGGAGAAGGGACGAGACCTGCCCTTCTCTGAGCACTACGCATTGAGGGCTCTTGAATTCTCAGGTTGGAAGGTTCTAGAATTCCTGGGTCTCTTGCCCTTTTCCCATATCTCATCTCTTGTTCTCCACTCCCTGACCCTCCTATATGCTCAGAGAATGCTTGCTGTTGTTTTTAAAATTTTTTATTGATTTTTTTTTTTTAAGAGAGAGAAAGAGGAAGTGAGAGGAAGAGTCAGAGAGAGAGAGGGAGGTGGGAGGGGGGAAGAGAGAGAGAGAGAGAGAGAGAGAGAGGACATCCATTGGCTGCCTCTTGCACACCCCCTACCTTGGATTGCGCCTGTGTGTGACCTGGCATGTGCCCTGACCCGGAATCTAGCCGCAGCCTTTCTAAGCCGCACTGGCCAGGGAAGGATGCTTTGTTCTGAGTAACTTTCCAGGTAACAAGATAACCTTCAAACACCAAAATGTTCCAAGCTGTGGCCATTGGAGGTTGAGATCTTTTCAGCCCACCACCCCTCGCCTGCCCCCACCTGGAGGAGGGCCATTGTGCTGGGGCCTCCCACGGCTCCGAGGCAGGCTCTGCCTCTGCCCGGCCCTCAGGCCTGCTCCCTGCTCCTCATCCTTCGCTCAGAGGGACGGGCACCAGGAAGTCACCGGCAGTGGCTGCTTCAGGGAGGGTTGTGGCCCCGGCCGCTGCAGGTCAGAGGCAGGAGCACCGTCCACATGTCCTCTCCAGTCCCCGGACACAAACAGGGGTGCCCGCAGCCATGGCACCTGGAGCAACACTTGCTGACGGCCCACAAGTGGCCTTGTCTTGGGTTCAAGGCCATTGCTCGCATGGTCAGAGCCTCAGCGTTTTGGCCTCAGTTCTGTGGTGGGAACGGACTCGCTCTGGGGCTGGGCCTGCGCCTGGAGGCCGAGCCACAGCTGGCAGCCCGGGAGGCTTCAGCAGGCTGACAGCCATCGCCTGGCCAGCAGCTCTCACCGCCCTGCAGGGGCTGCCCGCCTCCCGCCCAGGGCCGTCTGGGTGGCTAGTCGGGGCTTCTCAGAGGCCAGAGGCAGAGTCGGAGTCTGGCTGGAGAAGAACGAGGAGGGACCAGGATGTGCAAAGCCGGGGTGTGCTTCCAGGTGGAGGGAGAGGTGCTTTGTGTTTTGGACCCTTGACACGGGCAGGTCGGGGACTCCCCCTCTGCCCTCTGCCCCCCACACCACGGAGCATTTACCTTGCACAACTCTTCATCTTCAACCTAACAAAGCAGCCACCAGGATGTGGGGGGCGAGCGGCAGGCAGGTGGGCAGCGAGCAGGTTGGCAGCGCGGGACAGACGCGTTCCCGTCCGGCCTGAGACGCTGGCGTGCGGGCACCTGGACAGACCCAGGCCGAGAGAGCTACCCGGCTGTCAGTGTGCTGGATCCAAAGTCGTTTAGCAAAACTGAAATTCAGAACCTGAGGTGTTCTTTTCTTTTTATTAGCGAGTTTCCAGACAGTATTTAGTTCTCCCCTAGTCGCAAACAAAATGATAGCACGGCTCCCTCCCAGGCCGCCCTGCCCGGGCACACACCGGGCCGTGCCCAGAAGGCCCTCAGGGCAGGGCCCGGAGCCCCGGAGCAGTGAGCTGGGTGTGGAGGCGGGAGGGCGCCCCGCTTGGCCAGGCGGAGAGGACAGCGGGCACGCCTCCTGGGGCCACAGCCCGGGCAGGACGCCGAGGAGTAGCTCTGGACATGGCGTGACGAGATCTGGGACACGATTGTCACGATGGGACCAGCATTCCTGCTGCTGCTGCTGTACACAGTGATGACCAGTTGGGCACGTACGTGACACGTAGGAGCTCAGATGTGGCCCCGCTCTGGCCAGGTGCTGGCTGCACGTGGGGCCTTGGTTTCCCCGCAGCAAAATGGGCCGTTTGCTCCTCCCCACCCGTGCGCGCCTGGCCGCCTGCAGCAGGGGGGAGTCACAGTGCCCGCTCCCACCGTCCTGCCTGACCCACCAGCATCTCCCTGGCCCCCCGGCACGTCCTGACCTGGCCTGGTCCCTCCGCTCTGGCCAGCTGGGAGAGGCTGGCGGTCTCCGCTCTGAGCGAGGAGTGTGAGAGGATGTGGTGGCTGGGCTTGGGCTGGGGGGCTGGGCGAGGGTGGGGGCGAGAAGAGGCTGCTGATTGCATCAGAGATTATAGAAGGAAAGAGGACTAGCCTAATACTGAGTCTTGGTGTTAAGATTTTGTCCTGAGGGCAATGGGGAGCCATGGAAGGCTCTTTCTTTTTATTATTAAACTAGAAGCCCGGTGCACAGATTCATGCACTGATGGGGTCCCTCAGCCTGGGCCTCGGGGATTGGGCTGAAACAATCTCTCTGACATCCCCTGAGGGGTCCTGGATAGCGGGAGGGTGGTTCTCAGGTTCTCAGCAGCTCCTGCATTGAGTGTCTTCCCCTGGTGGTCATTGTGCATCATAGTTACCGGTCCGGTGGTCGGAGGTTTGCTTAGCCTTTTATGTATATAGGCTAGGGGCATTCATGCAAGAATAGGCTTTTCTTCCCCCCTCCCCTCCCCCCGGCATTGGCTTCCCTCTGGCACCCGGGACCCGGGCTTCCCTCCAGCCACCAGCACCGGGGACCCAGGCTTCCCTCACAAAGGGAGGCCCTGCCCACCCACCACCCGCTACAGCCCACCGGTCAGTGGCCTGAGCCTCCCTCTTTGGGAGCCCCCCGATTGATTGCCTCGTCAGCCAGTGTCCTGAGCCTCCCTCTGAGGGGATTATGGGGTGATCATGGGGCGGTGGCTGGGCCCCCCAACCAATCACATCACACCCGCCTTGGCTGGCCTGGTGCCAGATGGTTGTCTGGATGATGGTTCTGCCATTCGGCCATTCGGTCGATTTGCATATTATGCTTTTATTATATAGGACTGACTGGGTGACATTGATCATCATGAACATGTAGGTTTCTGTGTCACAAAGACCTGTATACTGCACTGTGTGGCCACCACCCAAAGTCGAATCTGCTGTCCGCACAGAAGTATATTCCACACCAGGGCCTCAGGTGGGTGTGGGTGGGAAGGACAGCAGCACCCAACATGCCTAAGCTCCCCTCCCACCCACAGGCTTAGGCCTGAGTCAGAGCCGCCTGAGAATTTGCTCCTTAAGTAACTGCAAGAGCAGGGAGGGGACGCAGCGGGAGGAGAAGGGAAGGCTGAACGGGATGTTATAGAGCAGAAATGGCCCTCGCGGCCCGAGGGGTGCTCAGTGGTTAGAGCGCCGCCGGGGCACAGGTTTGATTCCAGTCAAGAGCATGTACCTGGGCTGCAGGCTCAACCTCCAGCCCACATCGGGAGGCAGCCAATCGATGGGTCTCTCTCACATCGGTGTTTCTCTGTCTCTAGCCCTCCCTCCCACTCTCTCTAAAAACCCACAGAAAACTGTCCTCAGGTGAGGATTAACAAGCAGAGAGGGGAAATGCGCTCAGAGAAACCGATGTCACGTTGCCAGGAGCCACGGCCAGCATTTTCTGTGGGGGGGAGGTCACCCAGCGACCTCTGTACACCGGAGGCAGGAGGTGTTAGGAGGAAACGGAGGGTCAGAGAGTGACTTGCCTACAGTCACAGCAAGAAGATGCCAGGTCCAGGGTCCACCCCTTATGGGCCAGGGGTGCTCCCGAGGTCTCCCATGGAGCCTGGCGGGACGCCCGGCCTGCCCTCCCTCCTGCACCGCCTGAGCCCGGGTCTCACCAGGAGAGAGGAGGGCTGGGCCCAGGGCGAGAGGGGGGTCGCAGGGCCGTGCTGGGCCGGAGCGGTCCCTGGCCATAGACCCAGCCCCGGTGACCATGTCCTCCCCTGCAGCTACGGGGACCAGGTGCAGCACTTCAAGGTGCTGCGGGAGGCCGCAGGCAAGTACTTCCTGTGGGAGGAGAAGTTCAACTCCCTCAACGAGCTGGTGGACTTCTACCGCACCACCACCATCGCCAAGAAGCGCCAGGTCTTCCTGCGGGACCAGGAGCCCCCGCTCCAGGTAGGTGGGCGGGCCGGGGCGGCACCTGCTGAGGGAGCCAGCCAGGGTGTGAGGCTCTCTTCTGGTGTTGCTGCAGGGAAACAAGGCTGCGAAGGAGAGGGGGGGGGAAGGGAGGAACAGACTGGCAATTCCCTGGGCAAACCATGGCTGGCACACAGTAGGTGCTCAATAAACGTTGAATGGCTGAAGGTACTGACACCTACTGAGCCTTCCGAGAGCCACGCACTGGACTGGGCTCTGCACTGAGCTTCCCTGTCCGCGCCGGGCGGGTGAGGCCGCTGAGGGAGCAGAGTGATGTGACTCACCAGGCCGCCGCCGGCCGGTAGCTCAGTCCTGCTTCCTGCCCAGAGGTGCCGGCCTTGGGCGGGGGTGGCAGCGTGGGTGAGGTCCTGGCCAGACACGGTGTGTGTGGGGGAGGCTGGCCACCCTGTGTCCTCGCTCGCAATCCCAGCAATTTGCCAGCCAGCCTTTCATCAGGGGCTGGAGGCCAGCTCTCATTAGGATGACACACCCGCTAATGGGGTTTTAGCCCCGGTGTGCTTTTCCTTGGGGGGAAGGGGTGGCCAGGCCTGGGCTGGAGGCAGGACCCGCGACAGCCCTGCTGAGCCCGGGCTCTGCAGAGGGAGGAGGCTAGTGGATGCTGAGGGAAGCCAGTCCTGCCTATTCCTGGGCCCCAGCTGCCTTGCCCGGCGCGATTTCAGGGCCAGTTCCTCCCTCTCCTGGGCCTCCGTGTGCCCTCTGTCCCATAGCATGTGCCCTGGGATCTGACATTCCGGGAGTCAGCAGTGCCTCGGACATGCCCCCCAACCCCCACCCCGTTTGCCCCCTGCCCCACCGGGAGGCTCCGCCTCCGCAGCCCGACCTGGGTCAGATCAGCCCGAGCCTCCTCTGGGCCTCTGTACCCCAGACCTTCAGCCCCCCTCGCTGCCCGGGCCAGCTCTGACTCTGAAGAGTGTGAGCTCCCCACTCGCACCACTTCCCTGGGCCCCGCCCCGGCATGGCCTGCCCTGTGGGGAGACTCCAGAGCTGGCTCGGTCTCTCGGGACCCGCCGCCTCCTCCTTCCTGGGCAGAGAACTGCTCATTACAGCCGGTGCCGATCCTATCGCCGTCCTGCCCGGCCTCCTCCGGGCTGGGAGGAGGTGTCCTGGTGTCAGGCTGAGAGCTCCGGTCCAGGAGCCATTCGAAGGCGGGGAAACTGAGTCCCACGAAGGGCGGGGACTTAACCAAGGTCACTCCAGAGTGTGGGGACTTAACCAAGCTCACTCTGGGGCGCAGATGGGACTGGAGGCCAGGCCCGAGAGCTGGGGCAGCTCGGAGTGACGCCTTCTCTCCCACAGCCCCGCCGAGGGCAGCAGCAGTCACGTTACCGGCCGTGTGTGACCCCGGTGGCCTCGGGGCCTGGAGTCCAGTTATCACGGCCATTGCACAGCCAGGGAACTGAGACCCCGGCCGGCAGGGACTGAACCCCCCCTCCCTGAGGCCAGGCTCGGTCCCAGCAGAGCCCAGGACAGCAGGGCTCCCTGGAGTGGGGTCTGTGTGGTGGCCGTGTGGATAGGAGGGTAGGTGCGGGCAGCAGGAGGCCCATGCGGGTGGCCATCCCAGTGACCTCAATTCTGCCTTGAAACCATTGCCCTTCCCGACTGGCAAATCCCTCCTCTCGCCCGGCCTCCGAGGCCCACTGACACCGCTCTGCTTGCAGCCGCCGCGGGCCAGCTTCGCCCAGGCCCAGTTTGACTTCTTGGCCCAGGACCCCTCCCAGCTCAGCTTCCGCCGCGGCGACATCATCGAGGTCCTGGAGCACCTGGACCCGCACTGGTGGCGAGGCCGGTTCTGCGGGCAGGTGGGCTTCTTCCCCCGGAGCTACGTCCAGCCCGTGCACCTCTGACCGAGCCCGCAGACCACCGGCCACAGGACGCTGAGTCCAGAGAGACCGTGGACGCCCCTCCGGGCCCCGGGCTGGGCCCAGCCTCGGTAGGGACGCGGCCTTGGACGGCCCAGCCCAGCCCACTGCTCCACACGAACCCAGGGGGCTGCCCAGGTGCCACAGACACACAATGTGCAGTGCCTGCCGAGCAAAGGCGCTCCCGGTTCCCGCCCGCCTCTCCGCACTGGTCACCAGCACTGTGACACCCGTCAGTGCCCCACCCCCTGGGCCCGCCCACCCCTCCCTCTAAAGGACCCCGAGGAGTTGGCTAGTGGAGAGGTGGCTTCAAGGTGAGGGACGGTGCGGGCGCTGCACCCCTGGTGGCCTGGCTCACTGGACAGACCTGGTGGAGACCAGCTTCTCCGGAGCCCGCCTGGGCCCCTGACGCCGCGGTGAAGGCAGTGGGGCGGCTGCTTCTCACAACGGTCAAGGCCTGAGGGGCGAGCCCTGGACATAGCCGCCGAGGGGCTCAGTTCAGGCCCAGGCTCTGCCCGGGCCCAGGGGCTGGGAGGACCTGCGGGCCAGGGCGAGCAGGGCCTGGGCTGGACTCGGAAGCCCAGCAGCATGGGGGGCACCCTGGGGGGCCTCAGTAGAAGATGGAATGTGCCCCCAGCAGGGGGTTACTAGGCCGCGCCTGCCCGGAGTCTGGGCACCTTTGGGAGCAGGAAGAGAGGGGAACTCGGAAGCAGCTGGGATGCCAGGCTCGGGGGGGGGGGGGGGCAGTGAACAGGGGGGCCCTGTGGCCCTGGAAGTAGATGGACCAGTGGGGGGGCTCTCCCTCCACCCAGGGGGCCTGACACCTCCAGGCCCCGAGCTCTGGCGACGGCGCTGCTCCTGCCCTGGACCCACGAACGCAAAATAAACACAGTAACACAGGGCGGAATGTCCACGGAATCCCAGTTCTTGCCAAATGACGACCATTGCTCAAGTGTCACATTCTCTTCGCTCACCCCTCCCTGACGGTTCAGGCTCCCGCCTGCGGGCCGGGCCGTCCCGGGCACGGATCCGCCACACGCCCGGGTCCTCAGCAGGGAAGGGGCGGTCAGGGCCGGCCACGTCAGGCGAAGTAGGCATAGAAGAAGATGTTGACGCACATGAGGAGGATGGCATTGAGGCCACAGACACGGGCCCAGAAAGCTTGCTTCTGGGAGCCACCTGGCACGGGTGGGAGAGAGGAGCTGCTGAGAACCTCGGGGCCACCCCAGGGCCCGGTGGCTCCGAGGCCCAGGCCCAGGGAGGGCGTGAGAGGGATGCCCAGGGTCATGGGCGTACCTGATTTGGCTCCTGGGGGCAGGTCCCTCCTGAGAGTCCACCAGGTAAGGTTCTGGATCTGCAGGGAATGGGAGGGATGGGGTGGCAGGACGGGAGGGTGTGGGGGGCTCAGAGGGGACCCAAACAGGACCAGGGCTCAGTGACAAAAGAGGGCAGCTGAGTGCCGAAGGGCCAGGGACCAGGGCTGGGTCCAGAGCGGGGAAATTCTTGCGTCAGAGAACTGGGACTGGTCAGAAGTTGGGAATGGGCAGAGCCCGGGACGGGCAGGCTTACCTGCGCCCCGGGGGGTGGGGGCGTGAGCAGGCTGCCGGCCACCACCACGGCCCCGCTGAGCGCGAAGAGGGCCACGGCGAAGTGCAGGTAGTGGATGCTGCCCAGCACGGCAGGCCGCGTGTCCGGGGCGCCGCAGGGCAGGGCCGGGTGCAGGAACTCCAGGACCAGCCTCGTGGCGCCCACCGCCAGCCCGACCATCAGGCCCCAGAAGGCGCCCTGGGGAGGCAGGGCAGCGGGGCCGCTGGGTGAAGGCCCAGAGGCGATCTGAGCCCGGGGCACCCATCCCAGGGGGACTGAGGAAGAACAGCCGGCCGGCCCCACCCACTCTCCTCGCGCCCGCCCGCTCTCCTCACACCCGCCCCCTCTCCTCACACCCACCCCGCTTCTTCACACCCGCCCGCTCTCCTCACACCGCCCGCTCTCCTCACACCCACCGGCTCTCCTCACACCCGCTCTCGCGCCCACCCGCTCTCCTCACCTGCTCTCCTCACACCCGCTCTCCTCACACCTGCCCGCTCTCCTCACGCCCGCTCTCCTCACATCTGCTTCCCTCGCACCCCCGCCTCTCCCTCACGCCGCTCTCGCTCGCACCCGCTCCTCGCACCCGCTCTCCTCGCACCCGCTTCTCATCGCCACCCGCTCTCCTCACACCCGGCTCTCCTCCACCCACCCGCTCTCCTCACCCCACCGGCTCTCCTCACAACCCGCTCTCCTCAACCCGCTCTCTCCACCCACCACCCGCTCTCCCACACCCGCCCGCTCTCCTCACACCCGCTCTCCTCACACCCGCCCGCTCTCCTCACACCCGCCTCTCCTCACACCCGCTCTCCTCGCACCCGCTCTCCTCGCACCCGCTCTCCTCGCACCCGCTCTCCTCACACCCGCTCTCCTCACACCCGCTCTCCTCACACCCCGCTCTCCTCACCACCCGCTCTCCTCACACCCGCTCTCCTCGCACCCGCTCTCCTCACACCCGCTCTCCTCACACCCGCTCTCCTCACACCCGCTCTCCTCACACCCACCCGCTCTCCTCACACCCGCTCTCCTCACACCCACCCGCTCTCCTCGCACCCGCTCTCCTCGCACCCGCTCTCCTCACACCCCGCTCTCCTCACACCACGCTCTCCTCACACCCCGCCTCTCTCCTCACACCCGCTCTCCTCACACCCGCTCGCTCCTCACACCCGCCCGCTCTCCTTCACACCCGCTCTCCTCACACCCACCCGCTCTCCTCACACCCGCTCTCCTCACACCCGCTCTCCTCACACCCACCTGCTCTCCTCACACCCGCTCTCCTCACACCCACCCGCTCTCCTCACACCCGCTCTCCTCACACCCACCCGCTCTCCTCACACCCGCTCTCCTCACACCCGCTCTCCTCACACCCGCCCGCTCTCCTCACACCCGCTCTCCTCACACCCACCCGCTCTCCTCACACCCGCTCTCCTCACACCCGCCCGCTCAACTCGTCCTCACACCGCTCCTCACACCCGCCACCTCCTCACCACCCGCTCTCCTCACACCCGCTCTCCTCACACCTGCCCGCTCTCCTCACACCCGCCCGCTCTCCTCGCACCTGCTCCCCTCACACCCACCCGCTCTCCTCACACCCGCTCCCCTCACACCCACCCGCTCTCCTCACACCCGCTCTCCTCACACCCGCTCTCCTCACACCCGCTCTCCTCGCACCCGCTCTCCTCACACTCGCTGGCTCTCCTCACACCCACCCGCTCTCCTCGCACCCACCCGCTCTCCTCACACCCGCCCGCTCTCCTCGCACCCACCTGCTCGTTGGCGCGCCCCCAGAAGACGCCCAGGACGAAGACGGCGGTCACCGGGGGCGCCAGGGAGCTGGTCACCGACTGCATGTAGATGAAGAGCTGCCCGCTGTTGGCGCCCTGCAGCACCGGGATCCAGGCCACGCTCACGCCGATCAGCACCACGATGACCAGCCTGTGCGCAGCGGCTTTGTCAGGAGCCCCTTTCCCCCTGCCCTCCCCCCTGCCGCCCACTCCGAGCCGTCCAAGCCTGCACCCGCCAGGAGCCCTGCCCCCGCCGCCCCCCCTGCCGCCCACTCCGAGCCGTCCAAGCCTGCACCGGCCGGGAGCCCTGCCCCCCCCCCCCCCCCTGCCGCCCACTCCGAGCCGTCCAAGCCTGCACCGGCCAGGAGCCCTGCCTCCACCGCACGGACCCCTTTGGGGTCCTGCCACCTCCCTCCACGCGAGGCCTCTCCACGCAGCCGCGCTTCACCTGTTCATTCCACAGCTCTTCAACAAGAGCCCCGGAGCGCGGGGCGCTGTGCGGGGACCCCCCCCCCCCCCCAGCACGGGAGCACTGTGCTGGGAAGCCCCCTCCCCGGAGCGCGGGGCGCTGTGCGGGGACACCCCCCCCCCAGCACAGGAGCACTGTGCTGGGAAGCCCCCTCCCCGGAGCGCGGGGCGCTGTGCGGGGACACCCCCCCCCCCCAGCACGGGAGCACTTTGCTGGGAAGCCCCCTCCCCGGAGCGCGGGGCGCTGTGTGGGGGACACCCTCCCCCCCCAGCACGGGAGCACTGTGCTGGGAAGCCCCCTCCCCGGAGCGCGGGGCCTGTGTGGGGGACACCCTCCCCCCCCAGCACGGGAGCACTGTGCTGGGAAGCCCCCTCCCCGGAGCGCGGGGCGCTGTGCGGGGACACCCCCCCCCCCCCAGCACGGGAGCACTGTGCTGGGAAGCCCCCTCCCCGGGGCGTGGGGACACTGTGCTAGGAGCCCAGCCCTATAATGAGGGCCCTGGTCACTGCCCTGATCAGAACTGAGCAAAAAGCAGATGAGCCGTCACCCAGTCACCTGTGCTAAGGGCTGGCTCAGGAGCCCAGAGGAGGCATCAGTCTAGGAGGGCTCCAGGAAGAGGAGCCCGGGGCCTGGAAAGCGTGCAGCTCCGCTGAAGGGACGGGGGCGGGGTGAGGTGTTCCATCGACTCCCCCTGGCCGAGCACCCTCACCCTGTGCCAGCTGAGGGCCCCTCACCCCTAATGGGGGGTGGATGAGACCTCCTGGAGCCTGCCCAGCAGGCATGACCCAGGCTCAGTGTGAGCTGGGGTGGGCCCACTTGCCTGCCTGCCTCCCTTTTCCTTCCTAGGCCTCGGGGAGGCGGGAGGGAGGAGCTGCCACCGCGGTGAAGGCTAATTACCCCTCAGCCTGGCAGGCACAGCCTTCCCTCTTTAAGTTACAGGCAGGTTCCAGGGACCCCCCCACACACACACACTCTCACACACACACACACACACACACATACACACACACTCAAACACACACACATACACACTCACACACACACACACACACACACACACACACACACACACACTCACACACACGCACACACACATACACACACACACACACTCACACACACTCACACACTCACACACACTCACACACTCACACACACTCACACACACACACACTCACATACACACTCACACACACACACTCACACACACACTCACACTCACACACACACACTCATTCACACACACACTCACACACACACACTCACACACACATACATACATACACTCATTCACACACACACTCACACACACACACTCACACACATACATACATACACACACCCACACACACACTCACACACACACACATACACACACACTCACACACACACTCACACTCTCACACACAAACA